TACTAATTAGGTGGTTTAGGCTTAAACATTTTACTCATGTTTACGAATGAATGTTATTTCATGTACTCAAATCATATTAAAGACAACGTTTTGCTTTGCATAGGCAATTGATTTCATTGGATATTTTTTAATCGGAAAATGCATTTTTATCCTGTATCTTTACTAAGGGAAGTAAGGTGATAAGATAGCTTTGATTCCTTACAAGACAGTAAATACATAGTTTCTTCTTATCAAAAGGTTTGATATAACTTAGTCCCATATTTATTTTGACTGGAATTTGTAAAATTTTACATAAGCTATTAACCAGCTCTTACTGTTAGTAATTGGTGTTTCCAAATAGGTTATTTTTCTTACAAATCAGACTTAAAATAATAGTAAGAGCTCTAAAATTAAATAATTTGTTGCTCCATTAACATTTTACAATAAGATTAAACTTCTTAAATTGTGCAAGGCCTATGTAATAAATAATATTTACAACATTTTTTGATCATTCAATATCGGGACTCATGATTTTTATGTTATTAAAGAGCATAAATTTCCACACAATAAAGTATCTGGAGTTTTCGGATTGCACTGAATCGAAACTGAAATCGGGAACGCCCTCGACTAGGGATGGGCAAAGTGCCAGTCACTCCAGCTGTCGATAACTTGCTATCGGAATATACAAGAGAAATATACAAATCATTGGCAAATTGTTTTACGCATTTTAAATTCGAGCGTATCGGGTGGGAAAGTGTGTAATACTACGGATTTCCAATCGGGGAGCAAGTGCAACATAGTCACCGCGGAATCGCAGCATTCCGACCGCCGCCGCAGCCAGGTGAATAATGCAGAGGAGCGTCGACTGAGCGAGTAGAACCAAAAGGCTGGTGGATTCTGTCCAATCCGGGCACTAAAACAACCCAAAAGCGCAACGTCATGTTCGGATTCGACGGCGAGTACCGCCGGAGACCAGTGCAAAGTCTGGGGGGTGCCTCGCACACCTGCGACCGGGACACGGTGATCCGGAAGGCGGCCCAGGAGCGACAGAAACGCAACGAACTGCGCCAGAAGGAAAATGGGGCGGTGTTGCTGCAGTCCTACGCCCGCTCCTTCATCCACCGCCAGCGGCGCAAGCGGGCGGAGCGGGAGGCCTTCGATGGCTACCTGATGGCCCACAAGAATCGCATCGCGGAGGACGAGAGCCTGACCTTCCTCTTGCGTCGTCTCAACTTCTTCTACAGCAGCCGAGAGGCCAAGGACGGCGAGCGATTGGTGAGGTCCCTCTTGTGCATCCTTATCCACAAGCTAATGCTGTCCTTAATCCGTCACAGATCGAGGTCTGCCAGCAGATCCTCCGCCAGCCTGCTCGTCTTCTGCAGCATTCCTCTAAGGACTCCATGTGGCTTCTGAGGCTCTGCAAGCTGCTGGACACTTGTCTGCTTCAGCTCAGTCTGACGCACACGGCCCAGGCCATTCCTCTGCGCATGCTGGAGACGTTCACCACCGTATCCTCTGTCCAGCGCTATGTGCAGGACGAGTCTGTGCTGTTCCAGTATCTGGAGCGCGTCTTTGGCTTCCTGATTGCCCGTAACTACTTTCAACGCTTGCGAGGGCTTCTGGATGACAAGTGTCCACCGCTGGACGGAGAGACTTTGCATGCACCGAGTCCACTGGCCGAGGCCCTGCTCCAGTTGCTGTTGCGTCCGCTAGCAGTGGCCAAAAGAGCCTGCTCCGGGGGCCAGTTGTCGCCCATGTCGCTGGCCGTCTGCCAGAACTTCATTCGCGACATTCTGGCCACGCCGCACACGGATCCTCTGCGGTACTTTGTGCTGCCCTGCTTCGCGCTAAATGCCGACTTTCCCTTCGACCTACTGATGCGTTCGCTTCTCGAATCGCTGGAGACAGATGGGCCAGCGGAGTCGGCTAGCACATCCAGTCGGCGCAGTTTCCTCTTCCATGGAACGGAAACGGGCCCAAGGACTAAGCGCGTTGACACGTTGTTCTCATCGTTTTTACTCAACTCCCTCCTGGTGCTGGATCGCAGGCAGTTGGGTAAGTTTAATTTAAATGCCTTTTAGTCTTTAGGCTATAAGTAATCGTCATCCACTTCCAGCCACCCTGCAACAGAGCTCTCTGCTGGTGGTCTACGTCCGCCTCATTGCCGAAATGATGCCCAACATTCTTCAGCTGCCCAAGTCCACTCTACGCAGCCATGCTAATGCCCCACATCGGCACAGGGACAGCGATGATGAGTCTGAGGACTCGGAGGAGGAGGAGGATCAGCCCTCGGCTCGCACCCTGGACTATGATATGGAGCAGACTTGCCGAGTCAGCGGCGAACTGAGTGTCAAGGAGCGCGAGTGTCTGCTGGAGTCCATTGCCATACTGAACGAAACGGAGCGGGTGGACTTTATTGTCCAGCAGCTGGATCCGCACATCGAAAATAGTCAGCTCATCTATGCGCTCTGCGAGATTTGTCACAACCTAATGATCTACAACAAGCATGCAGTCTTCGAATACAAGTATGATTTAATAACACTAATGGGTTTTTCAATTTATAACCATTAATTCGTTTTAGGTTACTCTATACGTTGGCTTTTACTCCTAAGTTCATTCGTGCTGTGTGGTTTAAGTTGGCTGCGGAGTCCACTCAACTGGGTTTCTCAGCTCCACTGACCCTTATTTCCAAGGGCGTAGTGCGTGAGTATCATTTAAAACACTGGTTGGTCGATTATTCTAAATTGAATTTTATGCCGCAGCCAAACAACAGGGAGTGGATCGCACTATTCCACTCTTGGCCACCTTTTGCATGCTTTTCGGACGCCTGCTGCCCACGCTACACGATGTGGAGTTTGTGGAGAACAAATTGCTGCTGCAGGTCCAGACCACCATCAACCACGTGCGACTCATGCCCTTTTCTATTGCGGAAATTGTGCAAATGTCCAAAACTTTGAAAGACATAAGCATGGGCCTGGTGGAGCTGGCCTTTCCAGAGACCCGCAGCAATTTGGCAAATTATCGTAGTGTCCTTGGTCACACGGAGGCCGACGACAAGAAGTTGCGGCACCAGAAGCAAATATGGGCCAATCTACTCAACGTGGTTGTTTTTGTGCTTAACCAGATTCACACACGCGACTTGCGTTTGGGATTCTGTCCGGAGGCACACTGGACCGTCACCAGGCTAGACCTGCCTCTGGATAGGCCAACAGATCTGCCGCTGACCCATAGCAGTCGCTTGCGGGGAATCCGACCCTTCCAGCCCATACGGGACTTTACTCGAGAAGATTTCGAGAACGGACCGCCCATGTCTACCAAGCAGATCCGCTCAATAACCATTCTGCGTGAGATCCCCTTTGTGGTGCCCTTTAACAAGCGAGTGAGCATTCTGCAGGGTTTGGTTGCGGCCAATAAAATGAGGGTGCAGGGAAATCTCCAAGCCTTCCTCCAGGGTCCCTTCATTATGATCACAGTGAGGCGCTCGCATCTTTACGAAGATGCCTACGACAAGCTGCGTCCGGAAAATGGTGGGTGTTATCTGTAAGATTTAAACAAAGTGATGCTAAAATGTTTTTTTTATTTAGAACCTGATCTGCGCTTCAAGTTCAGAATACAGTTTGTGTCCGCGCTAGGACTCGACGAGGCGGGCATCGACGGTGGTGGAGTTTTCCGAGAATTCCTTTCGGAGTTGATCAAAACTTCCTTTGATCCAAATCGTGGTTTCTTTATGTGAGTATTTTAACGATTTTAAATTAACCAGTCTTGTATATAACATTATGCCAAATCCAGGGTAACCACGGACAACAAGCTTTATCCCAATCCAAATGTCGCCGATCTCTTTGAGGACTATGAAAAGCACTACTATTTCATTGGTCGCATCCTGGGCAAGGCTATCTATGAGAACCTTCTGGTGGAGCTGCCATTGGCCGAGTTCTTCCTCACCAAGCTGGCTGGCAAATACTCGGATGTGGACATCCACCAGTTGGCCTCTTTGGATCCGGAGCTGTACCGCAATCTACTGTACTTGAAGGACTATACAGGCGATGTTAGTGAATTAAATTTGGACTTCACCGTGGCCAGCAGTTCGCTGGGTCAGACGCAGATTGTTGAGCTGAAGCCTCAGGGCCAGAGTACTCCGGTGACCAACTCGAATCGCATTGAGTACCTGCAGCTAATAGCCGACTACAAGCTCAACGTGCAGATACGTCGTCACTGCAACGCCTTCCGCAAGGGTCTGTCCAACGTCCTGCCCATTGAGTGGCTGTACATGTTCAGCAACAAGGAGCTGCAAATACTCATTTCGGGTGCGGAGATTCCCATTGACCTGGAGGACCTAAAGAAACACTGTAAATACGGAGGTGAATTCAGTCCGGAACATCCCTCGATTGTGGCATTCTGGGAGGCTCTGGAGGGTTTCGATGACCTGCAGCGCAGGCAGCTGCTCAAGTTCGTCACCAGTTGCTCCAGGCCACCGTTGTTGGGCTTTAAGGTTGGTATTGAAGCGCATTTAACGTTGTTTTATTTATATTAATGGATTTTCCTAACAGGATCTGGACCCACCATTCTTTATCCAAAACGCTGGAGACATGGAACGACTACCTACGGCCAGCACCTGCACCAATCTGCTAAAGCTTCCGCCCTTCAACACAGTGGAACAAATGCGTGAAAAACTGATCTATGCCATACAATCTGGCGCTGGCTTTGAACTAAGCTAATCTGTCAATCCCCAGAAAACCCGAAAACATATCCAAAAATCACAGCCCCCAGAGACGAATAACAAAATCCCCATGCAATTTACCCACCTGGCAGAGCAAAAAGATCACAGGACGGCAGGTCGGCAGGCAGACAAACTATTCCAGTTCATTTACAACCAATGTACATTTTGATTACCGCAATTGCTTAGTGTAATGTATGAAGCTTATGAGGTCTGTTTATCCAAGTTTTTCATTTTAGTTTGTTTCAGTTTGTTTTTCGTATAACAAAATATAAATGTAAATCAAAGCGATCTAAGAATAATTCAATAAAGGGCAAGCGTTGTCAGTCCGCACGTTTGATGGGACTCATTTATTGCTATCGCAGGATACCCCCAGTTTGCACCCTATTTTCATAATTCATCAGCTGCCTTGGAGCGTCGCATCCAACTGCCATGCCTGTTGAATTATTCGTTGGTAGACCATTTGGGTCGCTGAGGTGGCGAACAGGAAGTCAATGTGATTATAGCCGGGCACTTGGTACAACTGACTGATGCTGTTCCGCAGCTCACTGACCAGGCGCTGCACATCCGCCCGGCTGGACAGCGCGTCCCGGCTGCCATGGAAGATCTGCAGCTGGAGGCGAACATTAACCAACTGATACGAGGGGGGCGTGTCCTGACCATATCGCAGAGCATTCAGACTCGGGGAGCGGTAGTCGTACTGCTGGAATTTGCCTGCGGAGGAATCGAAACACCCATCAGTGAATATTCCATTTTATGCCTACCACTCCGTTGTGCACAGAGGAAAATCGGGAAAACGCGCACAAGTTTGGGAGCACTTAAAATTTTACAAGTTAGTTTAGCTTATGTTTATATTGTACACCAGTCAACCTTTCTAATTTTAAAGAGATTTTAATTTGTACTTTTTAATTACACCAGTCTGGATAATTAAATTGCCATTGTGAACATAACGTTTTTGGTTTTCGGGTAAAGTTGCGTTCTCTGATTAAAGAGAAGGGCATATACAGTTTTTTGTTTGGTATCTATTTTTTTAAAGTGTAAAAAACGTTTTTGGCCTATTTTGGAACTGTTTTATAGTTTAACTCGATTTCTGTAGAACCGAAATTTCACCAAGGTTTTATTTAGGTAGTAATAAAACACTCTTTATCTTTTTTATACTCAATTTTTTGCTGCTTACGTACTTTGCCGGGCGCTATCATCTATGTATATTCACGATTTGATCTCTGTGTTGTATAAAGAAAAGTTGAGGGGCGTTTAATACCAATAAAATTAGTTAAAGATAACCGAAATAGGTCCATCAGAACTCTCAGGATAAAAATAGAATAGCCCAAAAAACTTGACACACTTTTTTTCCACTTTAAAAAAATTGATACCAGTCAAAAATGATGTTAATAGTTTGAAGATATTTGTATGTGTGTTATATGTTTGTGCAAAAGACCTTGTAGATTAAGTTTAATATTTGTTTCAAGCACGGACACTTTAAAAAATACAAATTAAAATTACAGAATGATATAGATTTTTAAGTAAAAACAAGAAGAAACGCTATAGTCGAGTGCCTCGACTAACAAGTTGTAGTTAGTATAAAATTTCAGGACGTTTCTATTGACGTGGAACACTCTCGTAAAATTAAAGGGATGCTAGTCCAAATGTTGTTCTGATTTCTCCCAGTGTACTCGGGCATATGCTGTGGTCCGACTTACCGCTATTGATGAGCTGTCCGAAGTGCTGCAGTTGGCCCCGCGAAATTCCCGCCGGCGTGTTCTCCAGGATGCGCGGCAAGATGTTCTGGTGAAGGAGAAGAGGAAGAACATTTTGTTAGGCTTAAACTCCCGAATCGTTTAAATTTTATGAGCAGCAGCCGGAAACAGGACCTCACCTCGCCTCGCCTGACCACTCATGTGTGTATCGGTGTGTGTGCTCAGGCTGCTATTTCCGTTTCATTGCGACACAAAGCATATACGGAAGTGCACACAGGCACACGGGCACACATACACGCCCACTCACACATGAACGGGCACAGGAGCGAGGACTCGGGTTGAAAGGCCAAGAGGTCCTTGCTTTGATCCTGCGGAGAAAGCGGGGGCTGAATTTATATTGCGGGTATTTGTTTTGAAATTAGCTGCTTATTCGCCCCAGCCAATGATTAAGGTAAGTGCAATGAGCTTTTCAGTTTTATATTGAGATTGATATTGATATTGCTGTTGGATAGTGGTTGAAATTGCCAACAGATTTGAAAAGCCGACTAGAAGAAGACAAAATAAAGAAGTTTTCTAAAAGAAATATTGATTCAAGGATAAGTGGCTTCTGCGCCTCCTCTCACAGAAATATTTGTGGGAAATATATTATCTCTGCTTTTCATATTATCTCTTTTATATAATTAAATTAAGGTACCTTAAACACATTTTCTATAACAATATTGCTTTAAAGGAGATAGTAAGCTAGTGAATTTAAACTTCTTTAAATTGTACATTTCACATATTAAAAAAATAGAGGATATTTTTTGTGTTTAAAGCACTTAGGAAATAAAAAATAAATGAACTTGGTTAATTATTGATGAAAGCACAAAAACTGTTGATTAACGTGTTTATATAACCATAAAAAAATACAAATTTATAATTCTGTTATTAAGTTCCTGATTGCATTTTAAGTAAATATGGTTAAAAGGGTCCTCCATCTCCTGTTTCCCTTAAAATGATTTTTTCTGATTTTAAATTAAATGGGTCTTAAGAGCTTAAACTATTTAATTTCAGAGTTTTTCTTGTAAGCTCTTTTTAAATTTCCATTTAATTCCAAGAATCTTTGTTTGAACAGAATATCTGGAAAAAACAGTTCACTTTTTGCCGATTTTCTGATATTCGTAGGTCTTTTTTTGGGGGGACGCCGCAACGACTCTTCAGTTTTCAGTTATAGAATTTTATGTAAATCGGGCCGACTTTAAATTGCCATGACAAACCATTGAAACGTTGCATGCGTCCTGCGGCGACATATATTTTTTTTGTTTTGATGTTTATTTGATTTTCCGCCTGGCCGTTGCAATTCCCCATTTTTTCTCAGCTTTGTTTCCTTTTTGCAGCCAGCCAGCAACTTGTGGCAAATACTGGCAATTTTGTGCCGCCAGCTTGTTTGTGTTTCTCGGAGTTTTTCTTTTTCTTTTTGCCATCCCTTGCATTTATTTTTCTTACATCTCGAATTTTTTGTATTTTTTTTTGTGTTTCATCTCGAATCTTATTCGACGCAGTGCAGTTCTCCAAGAGTGTTGAACTTTGCGAGGGTCGTGGGTGGCATTCCAGGGGTTTTTCTGGGGTTCCAGGGGTTACTAAATATGCACAAATATTTATTCGGACTTCTATCTGTGTGGTGTGGCATGTTCGGCAGTTGTCGCAAGTATCGCCTCGCTCCATTTGCTCAAGCTCGGCGTCTTTTCACTGTATTTGCTTAACAATTTTTCGCTGCTGGTTTCGGTTTGTTGGCTTTTTATGGAAGTTATGACTCTCGCCCAGATACATGTAGATGCGACTCTTGTGTCAAGTGGCAGTAGCTTCGAGAATTTGTTGTTTACTGGCATCCGTTGACATTGGAAGTTAAACATTCGAGTCGGAAACAATACTTTGTAAATACATTTTGCAACTATTTTTGCTGAAAAGCTTGAAAAATCGGAGAGTTCTGTAGATATTAGAAAATACTTATAAGTATGTAAGTTTTTTATGTATACAGAATAATCAAAATTTTTTCTTAGAAATATAAGGATTATTAGAAGCATATATGATGTAACTGATTTAAGAAGGTATATTTTGTTTTGCTTTTAAAAATATTTGAATGTAGATGACTATTAACAGGACCTCGAGCCTGACTTTAAACATAAATATATTTATATAAAACAATATTTTCCCTAAAAATAGAGTTTGTACTTTAGATTTCTTTAGACCTTGACATTCTTGCGGTATCATTTACCCTTTATTATGATATTCGAGGTCTTATACGTTTTATAAAATTTTTTTCCTCTTTTGTTTGACCCAATAGACTTTACTTTCGTTTTAGAGTGGGGCTTAAAAGTGCATTTCTAGGTCCATTCATCACTTAACCCTTGGATTATTCAGCGCCTGAAATGCTTATTTATGGGCGCATATGTAAAAAGATTTAAGAACTATATCCACGGGAACTTTCTAACCTTTTTTTCGTGCTCTCTGGGTAACTATAAAAACTCTAAAGCCAGCCTTGGCTTCCCAGAGTCCAGGGCCGCAGCCAATTGGCCAAAGCCCCCACTTTAATAACTTACAAGCGGCACTTGGTGCCAGGGAATGACCCCCAGGTTCGCCCCCAAAAACACACCAACAACTAACTCACTTCAGATTCAAATTCAGATGGTAAGCCTTTTGAGCACGCGCCCCGAAAACACTCCGAACACACAGATAAGCCATAAAGTTTTTTCCTTCGTTACACGGTCGCGATTTATTTGCCATATTTCACGGCAAAACAAAATTTAAATGTACCGTGTGCGCGCTGGAAACAAAAAGTGTTTAAGGCAGCGTGGCGTATACGTAATGTGTGTTATACTCTAGTTAGCCGCCAGCTGGAGCGGCGTTTTCGGATGGAGAGGGAAGTTTGAGTACTTCGGAGGGGCGGGGGAAAAGTTTAGGGCACCTTTTCGGTAGCACACTATTTGCAGGTATTTCGGATTATCTAAAGTATTTCTGGAAAACTCTAATCGATAATTTTCTTAGTTTTGCGAAAATTAAGAAGGATAGAATAGGAAATAAAAGTTTTTATTTTAAGAAAAAAATTGATAGATAATTTATTTCCTTTTTTTTTTTTAAATTTACCTTTTTATGATCATCCCATTCTTGGGCATAAAAAAAAAAAAATTAAAAAAAAATTTGTTTACACTTTTTAAAAGGTTACATACGGTTTTTATCCAAAAACCAATTAGTATTGTACAAATCAACATTTAAAATATATCAAAAAAAAGACTCCAAAAAAAGTACCCATCTGGTGGACATGATAACTGGTGACAGGATCATCAGAAAAGTATAATGGAAATTTTGTATGATAGTGTATCTCAAAATCTACTGCTTGAACGAAAGAATTGTGAAAAAAGTAAAATTTGAATTTTTGGCGAAGAATTTCGAAAAACACGAATTCTACGCTAATATTTTTACGGCTAATATATCGTCAAATCAATTGGTCCGATTGAAATGAAGTTTAATAGTGTAAAGTTGTATACACTTTAACAATTAACAAAAAAGTGAACAAAATTGATTATTTATATCGATTAATACTACAAATTAGTAAGCTTGTTTTTTCAAGAATAAAAAGGTTTATTAAATTCTTATTAAAAAAAGAAAACGAAAATATAATCACTAGTGTTTAAGTATTAAAATGACACGACATTTTAAATAAAAATTTAAAGTGCTTTAACAGCTGTATTTATTACTGGAAATTGACAAGTTGTATGCTGCCACCAATTAACCCCTTTTGTGGAGTATTTATTGCCCCCCGTTTGCTACCCTTTTTTATCCAACTCCACAATAGTTCTGGCCCGACTTCCAACCAGGAAGCTTTGCCCGGCAGGAGCAGCTCGTTTACGCATTTAAATTCAAATAACTTTTATTACCGAAACTAAGGCCTCCACCCCTTCTGAAATACGTATGTTTGTCTGTTTCTGGGAGTTTTCGAGGGGGTGTGCCGTGGTAACGCCAGGCTCACTCCAGAGTGCAATAAAAACTTTTGCATACAACAAGAAAAAAGTTTTCGGGGCGCTTTGTTGGCTAAATTATGGCCCGCATATATAATCGTACTCACACGATCCAATGGATAGTCGCTGAAGCCCACGTAGAGGGAGGTGAAGAGGGTGCACAGGGCGTAGGTGGGTCGGGAGGCGGTGCAGAAGAACTGGCTGCCCACCTGGGTCAGCGACGTCGCCGGCAGCAGTTCGTGGAGGCCAAGTTTGTTCAGCAGCAGCTGCACGGAGAAAACGCCATCAGTTATAGTTTCAGTTTAACTTGGGCTGAGGTTATTTGCAATTACAAAGACCAGTGTCATTTTAAAATCGAATATGACATAGGCATAGCAAAAAGATATGATACATAGGTTAAAAAATATTTAAGCAAATATTACCAAAATTAATATATTAGTATTAGGGACATGTTACATACAACAAATAAAAACTGAGTGCTAAGATATAATATGGGTTGTATTAAAAGTATTCCAGAGGCAGTATTATAACTACACAGAGAAATCTATCTAAGAACATTGTTCTTGAATTGAGAACATTTGTTCTTGAATTGAGAACATTTGTTCTTAAAAACCGTGTAAGTACATTTTGGTATCAATTTAGGAGCGAAATGGTGAGAAGAGAAAAATTAAATTGAGTTTATTTAAAAACTTTTTGATAAGTATACACTAAGGACTGAACTAATAGTTTATTTGTGCATACAATGTACTTAAATACCTCCAATTTAACTTGATTCGAGCAAAATGAAAACATTTTCAACTTAAAAATGTCGTCCTATTTTTAAGAACATTTTCAACTCAGATGAGAACGTCAGAATTTTCTCGGTGTAGAGCATAGTCTAAATAATACTTATAAAGTCTATACTTCATAGGTTAATTTTTATATTAAAGAGTCTAGAATTTGGATTTGTGGTATTATTTTTTAGCCAATTAATTTCAATTTAATACGTCGGAATATTAATTTAATACTCATCTTATCGACACCAAATCGATACTGTGTAGAGTCAATATAAAAATAGTTGATCTTTTCTGATTATTATTTTTTCGGTGTACGTTAAGAATATGAAAACAAATATTTCTTAATACTGTTACTAAAATTAATAATCATCTTGAGAGACTGTACACAAGAAAGGATACCAGAAATTTTTCTTAAATATTTCTAAGTAATCTAAGAGTGACTTTTCAAAACCCTTATTAAATTTATTTGGGAATTGTTCTTTTTACGATTTTCTACGGATGTACTATTTTTAAATACTTAACACCTTAAAAATGGCCCTAAAATCTAAACACGACCATACCATTATAAAACCAAACTCATTAAAATTAGTAAATGCCTTTCCCCCTTTTTCGCACTGTGCAGCAGAGAATTAAGAGCTCTTTGTGTATGAAGAAATAAACAGAAATGTTAATCTTTTTTAGTGAACTTCCTCCGTGAGTGAGAAGAGCTTATCACTTGTGCAGCAGGGTGAGCACTTTGCCAACCCATCAAGTATACGCACCGTGACCCCGGCACTGTCACTGGCCAGCAATCGCAGTGGCGGACTGCTCAGGTGCTGGAGAAAGGCCACCGGAGCCATCAGAGCCGCATTGGCGAACCGCGCATTGTACTCCGGGCGCTGAGACAGCAGGACCAGGAGCACAGTGGTGCCCTGCGAGTGGCCGACGTAGTGCACCTGCCGGCGATGCGTCCTTGCCAGCACGTAATCCACGATGGCGGGCAGGTCGTAGATGCCAATCTCGTGCCAGCTGAACTGCCAGAAGCGGGCGTCGCTCGTGGGCAGAGTGCGGTGGCCGCGGGAGTGGGTTGTGCCCCTGGCATTTCCCAGCCAGACATCAAAACAGCGGGCATGCAGCTCCAGAGCCAGGGATCTTCCCCTGCCCCCCGCCACAAAATCGCCGGCGGAGCCAAGGAGGCCGTGCATCAGGATAAAGGGGCGCAGGTGCTGCGGACACCTGGGATTCCGGGGGGCGGGAATTCTGTGCACACTCAGCAGATATCCATCGGCGGTCTCCACGCGGTGCACTTGACATTCGAGCTGCTGCCTCTGTACCGCCTGGCAAACCGAGTCTATAAGCGGCGAACTCTGACCCCCGATCAAGACAGTGCCACAAATCACTAGCAGTATCACCAGCACTATATAGAAGACCCAGCCACGTTCCATACTATTCGATTGCGAGTGCAGCAGCCTTTAAGACATGATTGGTGCCACGTGACGTGCGAATGGATACTGCGGCTTTCGGTGCATTCGCTTTCGGTTTTTGTGTTTGCGTATACGCAACGTGGGACGGGAAAAAGGGGTGGAGGTGGATGGCGGGGGGAGGCACTCTGAATGGGAGCTATAAATAAACACATTTTCAACTTTTGTTGACTGACAATCGATGTCTACTACGTAGGTGGCCTAGAATCGCTGAAATATGCAGTGGAAGTAACTTTTATTTTGGAAAAATTTAAGCTTTTATTTTTATCCAAATTGTAATTTTAAATTTAAAAAAAAATATATTAAAATATCATTTACTTAAGTTATAAAATTTTTGCCAATATATAGAGTTTCTTTCTTTATAGAGGCAGTATTACAAGGAACCGTGCTAATTATTTTGGTTTTTCAGCTCTTGAAACTTGAGATACCTAACTATCATCAAGATATTCATGTTACTAGATCATATTATTAGAAAACCCCAATTAAAATGAAATGTGCAGTGGAAGTAACTTTTATTTTGGAAAAATGTAAGCTTTTTTTATATAAGGGTAACTAAGTGAGGAGCATTCTACTGTGTTTCTGAATATAAAAATAAGAAAAACATTATTATATATAATATGTTAGTTATTAAATTGAGCTCTTGAAACTTGAGATACCTAATCGTCATCAAGATATTCATGTTACTAGATCATATTATCAGAAAACCCCAATTAAAAGGAAATGCAATCTAGATATCGTACCGTTAATTGGTCAAATTAGCTACCCTGCAACCCTTATGTTCTAATTAGCTGGATTAATTTACTCCCAGCTTTTCGTCGATTTGGCGCTATACCAAATTGTTGCCATGACAGCGGTGAACTGAAGAGGGCCAAAACCGCAATCTGCTGCACAATGCACACGGAGTCGAAATCAAATATGTACCAGCGTTTGAGTATATATCATGTATAATGAGCGACTGACTGAGTGACTGACTGGCTGACTGAGTGACTGAGTGACTGAGTGAGTGAGTGAGTGAGTGAGTGAATGACTGACTGACAGTGGACAGCGGCAGCCTATGTGATTTACAATTTGAATGGCTTGGACGTGTTGAAAATGCAATCGTGCTAATTAAAACGACCGCGACACAGAGCGTGTGAAATTATTACACAGCATAGATGGAATATATATATGCGATGTCCCCAAAATAATGAAACGGATCGGGGGCCTGTAGCTGCGGTTTGTCTGGCCAGAAATTGCTGGCAGGGCAATAATGGAGTGCGGTCAAATGGCCGAACTATTCTGCTATTCCTCCATCAAATTCAACCATTTAATAGATGGCATGTAAACTTTTTAAGCTGCAGCTTCTTGATAAAAACTCAGTTCAAACTTGACCCGAAACCACAAAACTTTTAGGGGCTTGTTGAAATGGATCTCATCACATATTAAGCGTTTCAAACAACGAAGTTCCAGGCCAAGTGTGTGCGCCAGACTTATGGAAATGTATTTTTAAATTGGTGCACAGATAAAAATATTATACTATATATACATATTTAAATTAGGCTTGAAAATGTACATAGGGGACCTTCGGTTAATAAACTCCCTTACTTACAATGATTTCAATCGCCTTTTTGCATTTTCTTTTCTTTTTTGATTTTCGACTAGTTCAAAACAGAGAAAAGTCGAAAAAATTACATTTTTCAATATCAATCTAACATTATTCAATGGTAATATTTGATTTTTTTTTATCTGTGTGGCAAATGAAAATAAAATCAGGAGGGTAAAGCCTTGGGTGGGGAAGACACGCTAAAAGCCAGCATCGAGTTAAGTAAATATGATTCAAGGACACTTGGCTGGCAGTGGAATCCCTTTGGCCACTTACTTTTGTGCACAGATTCCCTGCCCACTTCCGCTTCCTTGGGACCCATTTGAAAAAGCGATTTTAATACTTTCTCGCACAAAAGCTACTTAAAGTTTGCCCTGGCTTGGCGCTTAATTCGTTTTCGTTTTCCTCTTCTTTTTTTTGTCAACAGCTAACAAAACAAGCCAGAAAAAATAGAAATAAAAGTTTTTTGTAAATTGAGTTAAGTTAATTTTTTCTTTGTTTTTACCAAGTTCTTGGTTATTTTTTTTTTTTTGGCAGCGGGAAGTTTGCGCTTTGGTTTGCCTAATAAATGTGCGTGCAAAGAAAGGGCCAAAATGAGTGGATGGGTGGGAGTGAGGGGGCTAGTGGATAGACAGTTGTTGCGACAGCCAAAGGATAAAGGATAATGACAGCCATTAGTATTAAGTGCGCGTTGGCTACTTTGGATCCTCCCCCAATGTAGCTGGTTTTTTCAACTTCGACTCCAGCCCCAATCTCCTTTCTTCTGCTATCCCCTACTCATTAAAGTTGTTAAGTACTTGGCGTAAATGTGGCTTTTCAAGGGGCCCGTGAGCTGTGAGCTGAAGTTCCCGGAGGACTTCGGCTGGGGGCTTCTGAATGGGGCCCGCCATTAAAGTTAATTTAAATGCGCCTTAAGCGCTTTAACGTAATTCGTTTGCCCAAAAACTAAGGCGAGGAAATGAAGGGCACTGGGCTGAAAAATAGCCCGAGAAAACAATGTTGCATCTCTTAATTTTCTGGAATATTCAATCACTCACCTGCTCAGACACACACAGTAAAAACCGCATTTTGACTTCGTATTTTCCCCAGAAATGAACCCACATTCAGAGCTCCACTTTCGTTTCATTGCGAATCACAAAAGCCTTTCAAAACAATTCACTGCACAATGAGTGACATCAGGTAACCAGACGAAGGGCTGTGTGGAAATGGGAAAGGGAATGAATGCCTCACTCACTCGTCAAAAATGTTTTCATGTTCATATTCAGATTGTTGGTCAAACTCAGTCTCTTAAATACTCTATAAATAGTTGACTTGCTCTGAGCATTGTGATTTCTTCTTGGATTTTTATTTCAGCCTTTAAGATCATATTTCAACTTATATTGAAAATTCAGAAAATATAATATTTTGCTTAATAATTATTTTATTTTAACGGATTTCAATAATAAATCTAATAAATGTTTATTTTATGGAATATTTTATAGTTATATTAAATAGCTGACCTGCTCTAAATTTTCTTAGATTTAAAATTCTTCTTTTAAGATTATATTTTAGCTTATTTGAATATTCCGTAAAGTGAAATATTTTTCTAATAATGTTTTTAATTTATCGAATATGGGTTTGCCCTGTTATAAATGTTTATTTCATAATATATTGTATTTTATATTACATGCCATTGTACTCAACATTCTTTATTTAAAATTTCCTTAAAAATAAACACTATTAACAATTTTGTAAATACAATCAGAAAGAACGCTATAGTCGATGGCTTAGATTATTAGATACCTGTTACTGAGCTAAAGGGAGCGCGAGGGAGATAGAGATATGCATGCATCAAATCGGCTGTTTCCGAGATGGCACACTTTATTTGCTTATAACTTTTTAATGAATGGTCCGATGTAAAAAAATTTTGGCATGCAGATGGGTATTGAATGTCAGAACAACAATTTACATTTAAACTTAACTTTTTTTTTGAATTTTCAGAAAAGCGGGGCCTTGCCAGGTGAAATAAACTTGCGCTGCGCAAGAACCTCAAGAATCTGCATGCCGAATCCCAACTTTCTATAATTCTAGCTTTTTCTGTACAAGTAATGGGTAGAAAAAGGGTATTTCTTCTTCGCTATTCATAGTTCTTGTTACTATTCTTACATTTTTTCCCCGCCCACCTTTTGTTGGCTCTTTTATGGTGTGCACGCCACATTTGCGTTCAATGAGCATGAGATAATGTCATCATCAACGTCGTCTTCGTCATTCATCGCCAGACTTTCTGGTCAGATGAAATGGGAGATGTCTGGCATTCGGTCTGTGAGAACACACCTCTTGTTATTTAATGAGGATTGCGTTTTTAATTAATTCCATATTTACCTGAATGGGTGGCTTATATTGCGAATAAACAGTAGTCCAATATTAAATAATTTGCTTGACAGGCAATCACTTGAGTCATAATTTTTAATCTGCAATTCTTAACATATTAATTCATGCTTTGTCTATTAAATTGATTTAAGCTCAACATTTTTCAATCATATTAAGCCACGCGCCTCCAACACTTGTTGTGTTTTCTTTGGCAAGCGGGCTTAATAAAATAATAAAATAATATGCATAAAGCGTTTGCATTTCAATTTACAATTTCTATGGCTCTGCGAAATAATTGCATCTCGCCCGCAGTGCAAACCTGGCCAATTCAATGGCAGAAGGCTTTTTTGCGTATTTTGTTTCGTGCAATTAAATTTATATTTACAGCAATGTTTCACACACAGCAGCCGGTGGATAAATCAGAGCAGATATACGATGCAATTCGGTGCCTTTTCCCATTTTTATTTGTTTGACATTTGCATATTCAGTTTGAATTTTTACTTCCTTTTTTTGCCGCTGATCAATGGTGTTTTTATGATTTACATGTCCACTTTTTTGTGAATTGTAGGTACATATAAAATATACAAGATTTTCACATTGATTTGATTTTGCATCGTATAAACATTTATTTTTCATTTATTGCCGCTGTCAAACATTCACAAAGGGCCTTCAATTGGGGGATAAAGCGCCAAATAAATCTCACTTAGTAAGTCATAAAGGAAATTGTGGTGCTTTTTAAAGTTTTTTTTTAATAATTCATAATCAGGATACTTCCTGCTTTTTTTTTGTTCTATATAAAAGTAATCTCAGGCACGTATTTTCATTTCCGCAGAAGAGCCAAAAAGAAAACCTGCTTGGCATATCAATTATTTATAATTATTGTTAATTTTCAAAGCAAGCAGCCAAGCAAACAAACAGGAAAAAAACGAAGCACGAAAAAACCAGGAAACCACAAAGAGAACCTCAATTAAAATTCAAATTAGAGCGCTTGGGAAATTCGTTCTGCCTGGTGGCAAAAGTGCGAAAACTTAAAACCACAGGGAGGTGAACCATTCACCATTCACCACCTCATCCGAATTTTCCTCCGTAGGAAAACTAACTGCCTAAAAT